CTCAATTCTGGGTCTTTAATAAAGTGGGGGGTTTATTTCTTCAATGTCTTCTGTTGAGAGTTTGAGGAGAGTTAAATAATTTCCTTATTATTTAACAGGTTTCAATAAAGGGATGAGGAGTAAGGGTTTAATAAATTCTCTTATTACTATTCTGAATCTGTAATATAAGGGTTGATGAATGCTAAGTAATATCTCTAATTACTATTCCTATGCAGACATGGGGAGGAAGGAAGTGAAACATGGGCCAAGAGGGCCTCTATTTATAGACAAAATCTTTGGTGGGATGTTCAACAGCTACACTGATCAGAATGATTGGTCTGACTGGGTAATGACCTCATACTGCTAATTTAATGATGTCATGATGATGTCATGCTATGAAATTAATGATTTACAGCTGTGAAATTAATGATGTGCAGCTGTGGAATTAATAATGTACTGTTGTGAAATCAAAATTCTGCTGCTATGTTAATCAATGATATCATCTGTGTGATTAATGATCCTTATGTTGTGAAATAATGATGAGTGGCTGTGTAATTAATTAAATGGCTGTGTAATTAATTAAATGGCCGTGTAATTAATTAAATGGCTGTGTAATTAATTATTAATGATCTGCTTAATTAACTAATAAGATCTTCTGAATTATTTTATGATTTAATATTATATTATTCTATTCCTTCTGAATGGTTTTCAGCTTTATAACCTTATATTATTTCTAATTCCTTGTTGACCAATCTTGTTATGTTGTGTTGTTTGAGATAATTTAATAAGATCTGTTTTGTAATTATATATATATACTTTTTAATCTTCCTTGTATGTTTTATTCCTTTAGTCTGTGTAGTGTAAATATATATAAAATAAAATATCAAGAAAATTAACTATGATTTGAGAATAAAAGGCTTTATCATGACTATTTGATATTATTACCTGATTTCTTGAGTTTATATTTACTATTTTAATACTTTAAATATGTCTTTTAAGGTTTTATGGGTTTGATTGGTCTTACCACAGCGGTAATCTCCTTTTGTGGCGATCTAAGAAACAGCAAACTGTCTCGACATCTACAACCGAAGCTGAATACCGTGCTCTATTTGAGGGTGTTCAAGAGTCGGTGTGGCTGAAATACCTCTTTACAAGCTTATCGGTTCCGTTCACCAGCAAATTCGAGATATTCGTCGACAATCAAAGCGCAATTGCACTGGCGACCAATCCAATCTTTCAACAACGGTCCAAACACATTGACATAATCTATGACTGGCTACGCGAAGTTCACAACACCGGACTCATTCACATCAACTACATCCCCACCCACAAGATGAAGGCGGACATGTGCACCAAGGCACTTGGAAGGCAAAAACATCTTGAAGTCATCGCCAATCTCAAAATCCAACGGCAATGAGAGAGGGGGGTATTGAGGCACAGCTCTGGCTATCCTCTCATGGATACTGCTGCGGACCAAAGTTCAGTTAGGTTTGAACTCTGTTGATGAGACTTGGCAAACCCTAATGTAGATTCAGTTATTTCAACCTCGTTTCCACGTTGTAATTTCCCTCATCTCATTATTGTTTTCAATCATAATCAACTCATTCAAACCAACGGTGGGCCAGCTACGCTAACAGTAGCGTAGTGTAGCAATTTTTTGCTACAATTTAGCGTAGTGTTAGCGCTTGTTTCTTTTTTTGCGCTAACACTATGCGCATGGGGCAAAAACGTGCGCTAACGTTTAGTGTAGCGTTAGCGCGATTCCCCCCATCTGCGCTAACGCTACACGCACAGGCCGCCAAAAACTGCCCGCTACGCTGCGTTACGGCCGTTTTTAGCGGTTTTTTTGCCGTTTTTTGCCGCTGAAAACGCTGTAGCGTAGCGTAACGCAGCGTAGCGGCGCCAGCGGCGCGCTAACACTACACCAAAAAAAGGTTAGTGTTAGCGCCGCTACAAATTAGCGTAGCGCAGCGGCCGTAGCGGCGCGCTAACACTACACGAAAAAAAAATTGGCGCCGCTACGCTAACGCTACATGGGCCCGTAGCGTAGTGTAGCGTAGCGGCCCACCGCTGTTCAAACTCTTCACTCGGTCCACAGGTATGCCTTGTATTCCTCATTCTCTTGCTTCATGATCTTGTTCTTGTTTCTCATTTTTCTCATCTCTTCTCACAGGTGTGCATCCACCTAGTCCGCTCATCATCACGCTGCTCGCGTTACTCACAGCGCCTTCGCTACCTTAGTTGTTTCCTCTCACAGGTCTGGTGTCCATTAAGGAATCCCTCTCCGCCGCTGAGAGTCGAGTCCGGCACCGACTCCCAACCTCCCTGGGGGGTTTTGAAGATCGACTCCCAAAAACCCCCGGGGTTTTCCATTTTTTTATCTTTTTATTTTTATTTTTTCTTGGGATGATCGACTCCCAAACCTGTTGAAGGTTTGGGAGGTCCGACTCCCATCTCCGGGGGTGGACGGCCTGCGGACCGTCCGCAGGGGGTCTTAGCGACGTCCCAAATATTTGGGAGTCGGAACTCCAATATTTGGGAGTCGTTTGACTAAGACCCTTAATAAATGGCTGCGTAATTAATTATTAATGATCTACTTAATTAATTAATATGATCTGCTGGATGATTTTGTGATTGTTTATTATATTATTCTGTTCCCTCCTGAATGCTTTTCAGCTTTATAATTATTATATTATTTCTAATTCCTTCTTGACCATTCTTGTTATGTTGTAAAATCTGTTTTGTAAATATATATATATACTTTTTAATCTTCCTTGTATGTTTTATTCCTTTAGTTTGTGTAGTGTAAATATATATAAAATAAAATATGAAGAAAATTAACTATGATTTGAGAATAAAAGGCTTTATCATGACTATTTGATTTTATTACCTGATTTCTTGAGTTTGTATTTACTATTTTAGTCTTTTAAATATGTATTTTAATTTTTTATGGGTTTGATTGGTCTTACCACAGCGCACGTCGTCGCGCGGCAACATCTTGACGCTCATCTCACTTCCTGCTTCAACATCATCAGTGATAGATATCCCAATCCCAATTTCCCCTCACTCTCGACACAATGTTCACCCCACAAAGGAATCCAATGGGGACTCCATCTCCGCAGGCGAGTCTGAGCCAAAGGACCATCAACTTCACTTCTCCTTTCTGGGCCTCTCGGGGACCGTATTGTGTGAGTAACAGAGTAAAACTCAATCTCCGCTATGAGTTATGGTCATCTGAAATCTTCCTTTCCGTCAATTTGCAACCCACAGCTACCAGAACAAAAGGAATAGAGTGCTAGCGTCCCACCCGGCACCCAGCAGGCTACTCCCTCCCCGGAGGAACAGCCAGCCAAATCTGGAAATTTGCATTGCAACACCAAAGAGGTTAGGTGCATGATGGAATCAAGTAAGTCACTTTGCTGATTGCTAACAGTCAGCCTCAACCCAAAATACTCATACTTGTTTTCTATCAGTGAAATCACGACTCACGTACCTGCAACATGCTCACAGCCCTTATGCTGGCCTCGCACCAAATCTAGATGCCTACCATTTGATGTACATGGAAGCCATCGAAGCGCTTGTTGAGGAAGGAACTAGGAAGCTACATGAGGCAGACGAAGCCCACCAGTTGTACATTCTAATTGTTGACATTCCAGCCTTTCCACTTACAGACACCAACCACATTATCACCTCTTCACCCATCACCAAGTTGACCAACACACCTGACTTAAAACAATTCAGGCTCACGGATGTCGAAACGATTTGGGCCATCCTTAATCAAAAGTGCAACGCAACAATGTTCACACCCCTCTTGACCATAGACCTTCAGGCAAAAAGTTTATCATTCTACTCAAACAAAATTGCTTCTGCCCTCCATCAATTCACAGAGATCTGTGACACTATTTCACCCACGGCACAGCACAGAAAGCGCTCCTACAGCTGGGAGCCAACTGCCGGCCTTATCAAATCTAGTCCTACTCCCCCAGTCAAGCATGTCAACGCAAGTGTACCAGTATCTTCACAATCCGTTGACTTGCACTTGTTGTCAAGATACACCTCCACAGCACCACCTTCTGGAGTCGTTCCATCTGTCTCCACTACTTCAAACTTGAACAAGCTGCCACCCAACCCAAGCTCAGCCGAGTCAAATCCTCACAGCTCTGCGCCAGCCGTCATCATCAATGCCACCCATGATCCTAGGCCGTCAACTCCATCTTCTAGGGCATCGAACCCAAGTAAGCAGCCACTCAACTCAACCCAGGATTCTCCAGCCGATTCAAATTCTCAGGAGGAGACAGGGGGCAGCTCTGAGTCAGTCATCATTGTTGATGCCACCTCTGATCCTAGGCCAGCAAGTCCATCTTCTAGCGCGTCAAACCCAAGCAAGGAGTCAAGCAACTCAACCCAGCAACCTCCAGTCAATTCAAATTCTTGGGAGGAGAAAACTGAAGGCTCTGTGCCAGTCATCATTGACAATGCCATCTCCATCTCTGATCCTAGGCCAGTAAGTCCATCAAGCAAGCAGCCACCCAATTCAACCCAGCAATCTTCAGCCAATTCAAATTCTCAGGGGCAGACAACTGCCATCTCTGCGCCAGTCATCATCAACAATTCCACCTCTGATCCAAGGCCGGCAAGTCAATCTTCTAGTGTGTTAAACCCAAGCAGGCCTGCAAGTCCATCTTCTAGTGCGTCAAGCCCAAGCAAGCAGCCACCCAACTCAACCCAGGATTCTCTAGCCGATTTGAATTCTCAGGAGGAGACAGTGGGCATCTCTGAGTCAGTCATCACCATTGATGCCACCTCCAATCCAAGCTCTATTCCCACCAAAGAGTAGTTCTACACCATGACAGGCTAGGTCTTAAACCAAGAGGTGGTAAGCAGCACTTCTAAGCTTATAAGAACACCGTGTTTATTTTCTTACACATTGCATTATTCACCCAGTACTCTCTGATACTGAAGATGATGAAGACAGTCCAGTCAACAGCAAGAGGCCCCGTAACTCTGGTCAATTATATCCTATCTCTAACACCCAATTGGATGGGCTTCCAAGCTGATAAGCACACTATTTTCTTGAATGAAGGTGAAGGAATAGAGACCAATTTTCTACCCAACAACAAGCCACCAAAGATCATCAAATCCAAAGTCGGTGATCCAGCTGGAAAGGTGGGAGGAAAAGGTATTGAATCAGAGCCTAAATGCAAATCCAGACAAAATTGTAGATCTGGAAGGAGACCAAGAAGAAGAAGATCAACCCCCTCCCAGACCAAAATCCCAGCCCAAATCAAACCCCAAAGGTAAGAGGAAACAAAAGGCAAAACCAGAGATCACCAAAGAGAAGAAGGCTTGAAGAAAACAGGAAGCTCAACGAAAAAGAGAAGAAAGGAAGAACAGTCCTTATAATAATCCCCCCAACCCTGCCTTTTAGTCCCTCTCCTCCAGTGCAGCCCAAACTTTTCTGTCAAGTATCTAATCAATGAACCCTTTTAGCTTTGTTGGCAAACATTTGGAAGACATCACACTTTCAAAAAATGTACAAAAATTACAAACAAATGCTCAAAATGTCAAAGAATCCCCAGTGGGATTACGGTCCAGAGTTGATGGAGTTAGTCGCAGACATGGTCTGATGGAGCTCTGAAAACCCCAGGCCAGATGTGTTCTACGAAAAACCAGAGTTATTCACCCCAACCAACAAAGAGCTGAAGGTCATTACCGTTGTTGGCGATCAGGAGTTCAGACACTGTCTGATGTCTAGTGAGTAGAATTTAGCTGTTCTGTACAACATGTTCAATCAATCAATCAGGACTGAACCATCTTTTTTCTCTTGTTAGATCCCTGTCTAATGCAGGTGGCCGCCACCAACCCATTTTTCAATAATCAAGTCTTCAGTCTCAAACTCATCGAAAAGGCCTACACATCTAAGGCCAACACCAAGCGCGCCTCTTGAAAATCCTTGTACAGCATGATGATACAAACTGACTCCAAAGACGACTACACTGAAGACATCCATACAATACCATTCATCTCAGCCAGTTTTCACAAACTGCATACCCTCTCCAAATCCTGTGTTGACAACCTTCATCTGTATCTCAATCCAAGCCCTGCCAACAAGGCAGATCTACAGTTGCGGACGGCATAGACCGACCCAGGATTTTTCCGATGTCCGAATTGGTGAGCCAAAAAATCAGGTTTTTTTTGTTTTTTTCAGACTTTTAGGCTTTTTTTAGCCTTCAAACTGCTTGGAATATACTGTAGAGCATTCACCGATGCATAGGGTAGATGCTACAGGTATAATAGAGGAGTCTATAAGGTATAACCCCATGACTATGCGTGGTTAAACCCCATAGTTATGGATTTAGGCATGGCTTTTGTTAGGCATGTCCGAATACATGCATTTGGCAAAAAAAAAAAAAATTAAGAACCGCTGTTGCAGAGGCTTAGCGGTTATAATTCTGAGCTCTACACATGTGTACGAGTTCAAAACCGCAATAAAATTGGGTGTGTGGGTATATGCCCCCCCCCGGGGATAGGCCCCGCATGTCAATTTTAAATTTTGCGGGCGGGGCAGGGTCGGTTTATGCCGTCCGCAACTGTAGTCCACTGGAAACAGAAGACCGTTTTTTAAGCAGGGAAATACATCATTGGCAAAATCAAGGTTCTGAATGCACTCCCAGCCACCAAGTCAAACAACAACGGCAACAAAAAAACTCCCAACGGCCTTGTTGTCCTCCAAAAGCGGACATGGGAAACATTACTCTGCTGTCTGATGATGCATAATTCTTTCTTCATCAACTACCTCAAGCACTGCATCAAGACAAACAAGTTTCCAGACAAGCCCATGCAAGCCGCCTCCAAGATGAGCTGCTACAATTGAGAAAGAAGTCTCTTCAAATTCCACTTCCAAAATGAAGGAATGGGAAAAAACCAGACTATCTGCCTTTGGATCAATGGCTGTTTATTTCTTATACGGTGTGGAACTACTCTTGGGAGGAATAGAGCTTGAGAGGGATGAGTGCTTTATTGGGCTGCCTCTCTGATAACAAGAAAATATAAGAGCATGGACTCTTAAGGAAAGGTGTGGCTTTGGAGATTTCTTGAGGATGGTATGTCTAATGTTTCTTATGTTTACTAGTCTAAATATACTTGTTCACAAATCAAGGTATCCCAAATGTTGATGGGCAAATACCTGGCTAATAATGGGTGATCAGTTATCTGAATTGCTGGGGCAGGATCTGATGAGGAACAAATGAAGGGGAAAAACAAAGCTCCTTATATACAAAATTCTGGGGAGTGGCCAGCTTGTGGTTGGAAGATAAGTGGAACATTCTATGAAGAGTATGAAACAAGGGAAAATATTTATCCAGAGAAAACAGGGGAAACAAGCAGTGGGAAAATGCTCCCAAGGTTACTAGTATGAAACAACTAAGGGGGGGGAATATTCCATGGAAGGAGATAGGAGGAAATAACTGTTTCATGGATCAGGGGGATTGTTACTAGTGTGGAACACAAGGGGTAAGAAGAATGGAATTTTTTGGAGGGGAATGAGTTTCAGGGCTGTGGAGTTTCTGGTTGGGAAATATTATTATCCATGTGGTCTGTGCTTGAGGGGATTCATGATTGGTTTGGGGGTCTGGGGAGCTTTCTGGGGTGTCTTGGCTGTGTGATTCTTCTGTGATTTGTGCTCTTGATAAATTTGAATTTTCAGGAGTGGCTTACCACATCCACCCCCAAATTAGATGATGTCCCCATCATCCAAAAAGAAAAAAAGAAAGGAAAAGTCACTCCTGAAATTCTAAAGACAATATTTCTGGAAAGAGAAAAGAAACTGGTCATAAATGTGGAAGCCCATAATTGAAAATAGTGCCAAAAGAAAAAAAGAAACAAAAAAAAAATCCATGGTTTTTATATGTAGAGGAATTGTTTTTGTACTTTTATCTTATGTAATGATTTTTATTTTTATTTATTTTATTTTGATTCATCAATTATTTATGAGAGACTCAGATATCTTGTATGTTCATGTAGCCCAGGAAAAAAAAGGGCAGAAGACTGGTGTGAAGAAAAAAAATTGAACAAAGACTAATGATGAGAATGAATTACTGGTGTCTAAACACCCCCAAATTAGAGGTGCAGGGAGTCTGGGAGTATTTGGAGAAGGTAACTGATAAGTATCTATTTTTAGGGTTTTTAGAAGAGGAAGAAATTATGGTGAGGAAAAAGAGAAGGGGGCATCCACCCCCAAATTTTGAAGTTTGAGGGGTGATTCAGCATTCAACAGAATTGAGTCAGATTAGCCTTGTGTTTCAGTAAAAATTTCAAATTTTCTTCTCTCTTCTCTTCTTCTTCTTTTTTTTTTTTTTTTTTTTTTTTTTTTTGAAAAAATTCAAGTTCCATTTCCATTTTTCTTCCATGTCAGATGTCTTGTTGCAGATTTCTCATGATTTGTCTTGCTTTGAAGTTGAAGGATATGTAGTTCTACCTTCAACAGGAGAGTCTAGTTGGATTTGAAACAGCTTGTACAAGGCTACAGCCCAGGGGAGTGATAGGAAGCAATTGTAAAAAGTTATGATATAGCCCGACAGCCAGGTGAAACCAACAACTAGGTGGCTTTGCTAGTGAGTTCAGTAAACATGTATTTGCTTGATCAGCCGATCGAGATTCTGGGTGCCCAATACTAAGTAGCGGTAGGCAATGACACAAGTCGGAAGCCTCCTCCTTGGATTCCATAGCGACAAGCCTTTGAAAAGGGTTGCAGACTTTCGGAAACAGCCAATGTTGCTTGCTGCTTCAGTATAAAAAAAAGATAAAGCTCTTTGCCTGAGGTCGGGCTTACTTCCCTCAAATTTATCTTGGCCTCGCTTCTTGCTATTCTTGGTGTGATTTCTATCCCCCATGATACCTGGGTCAAACAATCGAGCAAGGTTATTTGTGTAAGTCTTGATGCTTTCTTCCTGTGATAGGCAACTCCGATGTTGTCTGTTGAACAATTGACAGCTGATAACTGCTGAAGCAATTGGATTTTTGTTGATCTCTCTTTCTTTTGTTATCCTTCCTGATTTATCCTCCAAGCGAACCAAGGATACTGTAGATATCAATCCCCTTCTGTCGACTCCAGCTTGGCGAAGTACTTCTTCATTGTATACCAAAAAAGTTAAGCTATGCATGGTTCTTCCCTCGCTCTTGCTTGACTGAAATCTATCCTGGATATCCTTTAAACTAAATTTTGATGGGATCAATTGCTTGCTTGTGTTCTTGCTCTCCTGTACGCGAAATAAAAGCTCAAAACACAACGGTCTACCTGATCGTTTTATTTGTCTTGTTTGGAAGCTACCTGTCTCCTGAACCATCCATTCGATTGCCTTTCTTCTCTTCCGATACTCTAAGGAAACTGAATCTGTAACTTCAGCTTTGGAGCTGTCTTTTGGCGAAATTGGTCGCTTCCATTGGTTGATTGGCCTCTCCTGCCAAGTCCTTTGAAAGTTCCAAAACATACCAGTCATCTTCAGCGATTTAAGTGGTAAGCCACTCCCGCTTGTTTGGATCTTCCAGTACAAATGATTGCTGATTGATCTCTGATTCCTGTTATCGTTCCGAAACAGGTAATGGATTTCAAGCAATACAAGGGCAGTCAATCTGACTTCCATAGCCCATGCTTTATTCAGAAGAATTCCAATCGATGGTGTGTATTCTAATTTTGTGATAGGAAGAATAATCTGATAGCAATTCGATCTTTGTCTTTCCTTGGATATTCCATTGGTCACTTCCCAATTGAAATGGTAATGAGGCCCTGTAGCTGGTGTGTATTTTTTCCTGGTCGCTGAGACCGAGGTCATCGATTCTCCAGATTCCATGAGTTTTGAATACATTTTGACTTCTTTGAAGTGTCCTCCAAGTGACATCGGACTTCCTTTCCACGTATTGATATTCAGCATCAAGCCATCCAATCGAAGCAAATCAAATCCCTTTGCTTCAAGAGACATGTTCCCAAGCTTCTTGTTCTGATTCCAACATCGTAACCGTCCCAGGTGGTTCTGCTTGATACCAAAAGTTGAACACATCAAGCAGCAAAAAAACCAGCAACAGAAGAGCATTCATACCAAAACTCCAGTTCAGTGGATAAGATATTGCTGATGACAGTTGAGATGATGAATTTTCTTCTGATTTTCTCAAAATACTCCTGTTGCATTCAGGTTCTCTTTTATTTGGGTTCCATTTATTAATGATCCAGGGAGGGAAAGGTGCAAATTGATGGTCTTCAGCTGCAGCAAGGAGTGCAAAAATTATTTTCCAGGATCTGATGCTAATTGATTTTATTCCCTTCTTGGCTTTTTCCACAGGTTTTCTCAGGCCAAGCTTTTCCAGGGTAACCAGAGGGGGATCCAGCAAATTTTGACTAATATCAGGGGGCTTGAAGGGTGGAAATATTTTCTGATGAAGGGATGATTGGTGAGTTGAAAGTGATATGGAATCTGAAGGGTTTTCCATAAAAGATACTGATTCAAAAAATGTCTCTGTTGTTTCACTAGGGTCCATCTGAAAGACATAATTATCCAATATTCCTGTTGATAAAGTTGCTTCCTTTGTGACATCCAAACAGAGTAATTCACATCCATGGACATCCAATGAGTTTAAATTGAAGTGGGAATAAACTTCTGGAAAAATCTTTTCTTGAGTTTCTGAGCTGGTATTATCTGTAGTTCCAATTCCTTCAGGTAAAAATACTGTGGAATTTATTGTGGGGTACTGAATTGACTGTACTGAATCCAAGGCTAATACATCCTCTGGTTTGATATTCTGACCAAATTTTTCCTCATTTTTCTCTTCCACCAGGGTTGTCAGGGAGTTTTGAAATTCAGGAATAGGATTAACTGGGATCTCTTCAACTTGGAATACTGGTAAAGTCTCTTCTGGGGAAATGGGTTCTGCAAAAAGTTCACTTTCTGATCCAAGATATACTGATTGATTTTTATCCAAGGGATCCAAATTCTGGCTATTTTCCAGGAGCTGAGGGCCATTTGCCAGGGGCTGAGGGGAAGATTCCAAGGTTACAGGTGCTACTGGGAAGGAATTTTCTTCATCCATGGTACCTGGTGAGGATATTTCTGAAATGAATTCTGTCTCTGATCCAAAGTGTTTGGTTTCTGTGTTGTCCAAGGGTTCCAAGGTTTCCAGGGATTGATCATTTTCTAAAGTCAGGGGGCAGGCATCCAAATTTGAAGAAAGTATTGGGGGGAAATTTTCTGTGAGTGGTAACTGGATTTCTGAGTTAAAATATTCCATGGGCCTTTGAGGATTCTGATTGTTTTGTCCAATTTCTTGTGCAGATTGATCACAATCTTCCTGTATTTTTTTCAGTTTGTTGAACTCCCTGTCAATATACTCCAGAATAACACCATAGGATGGTGCCTCTGCAATATGAAAATTTGCTCCCAAAATCAAGTGACCATCCCAGATAAGTGGATCAGATATTAACATTTCCAACTTTGGGCTGAGGGATCTCCAAAGGTAGTTTGAAAATTCATCCATGTGGAAATTGTGACCATTTCTGATGAGGTAGTGAGTGATTGCTTCAAATTGGATTCTGAATAGCTGGAGGTGTTCTAGATTTTTTATTCCTCCCATGCCTATAGTGGAGCTGACCAAACATTGCAAATCCTTTCTAGCATATCCCTCCTTGGTGAAATGCATTCCATCTTTGGGTCTGTAGATAATGCTCAACTTTTCTGCTCTTTCCAGAAAGTGGATGGGGGTTGATTTCTTGGGTTCCAGAGGGTGAGTTGGCTGAGTTGGAGTATTCTTTTCTGGCCCTGGTGGTCCTGTATCCTGACTTTCTGTCCTGTGGTGGTAAAGGGGTTCTTGAATTTCCAAAGGTTCCAGGTTGTCACTTTCTGAAGGTTGGGGATGTCTCATTGGTCCAGGGTTAAAGGCTGGAGTATGGGCAGGAGGAGGTTGGTAGAATGTGCTTCCAGGGTTATAGTACTGGTGAGGGGGTAGTTGAGGGGGTAAGAATTGTCCTCTCCAAGCTGGGATGACCAAATTGGCCATGTTGATCCTAGGGGTAGGTCCAGATAGGGATTTTCTTCTTGGTGGAAAATTCATGGTGGTGGAGGAGTTTTTGAGATTTCTACTGTTATAATATTGTTGCTGTTGATCCAATGATATTTTGTTGATGCAGATTTACCAATGAAGATTTCTGCAGGGATTGATAAGGTATGTAAATTCTAAAAAAAAGGGATGGTAGTAACTAGCTAATCTGTGACTGTATATTTAGCATAGAAAATGTAAGTGGTAGTGACTGAAAACCAAAGATCTGTTAAGCCACTGTTGGGACACCACTTGTGGAACTACTCTTGGGAGGAATAGAGCTTGAGAGGGATGAGTGCTTTATTGGGCTGCCTCTCTGATAACAAGAAAATATAAGAGCATGGACTCTTAAGGAAAGGTGTGGCTTTGGAGATTTCTTGAGGATGGTATGTCTAATGTTTCTTATGTTTACTAGTCTAAATATACTTGTTCACAAATCAAGGTATCCCAAATGTTGATGGGCAAATACCTGGCTAATAATGGGTGATCAGTTATCTGAATTGCTGGGGCAGGATCTGATGAGGAACAAATGAAGGGGAAAAACAAAGCTCCTTATATACAAAATTCTGGGGAGTGGCCAGCTTGTGGTTGGAAGATAAGTGGAACATTCTATGAAGAGTATGAAACAAGGGAAAATATTTATCCAGAGAAAACAGGGGAAACAAGCAGTGGGAAAATGCTCCCAAGGTTACTAGTATGAAACAACTAAGGGGGGGAATATTCCATGGAAGGAGATAGGAGGAAATAACTGTTTCATGGATCAGGGGGATTGTTACTAGTGTGGAACACAAGGGGTAAGAAGAATGGAATATGTTTGGAGGGGAATGAGTTTCAGGGCTGTGGAGTTTCTGGTTGGGAAATATTATTATCCATGTGGTCTGTGCTTGAGGGGATTCATGATTGGTTTGGGGGTCTGGGGAGCTTTCTGGGGTGTCTTGACTGTGTGATTCTTCTGTGATTTGTGCTCTTGATAAATTTGAATTTTCAGGAGTGGCTTACCACAACGGCACCACAGGGTGGTGACATTGCCTCCCTGACTCTCACAACTTCAACCAAAGAGACGTATGGAGTTTGGTCCACCTGGCCCATGCCCGGCACAAATGGCTTTATAAAAAACGGCGCCTTAAGGAGCGGAGGGTAGATGACACCCCCTGGTACCAAGTCGACAGCTTTGTCCGGTGGATTTTTAGAAAGACCAACATGGACTGACTGGTACCATCTTAGGTCAATTGGGAGAGTGCAGCACATTAATGAGAAGAATGTCTCCAGGTTGGCCCTTCAAGACATCATGGCCGAAGTATGCAAGGTTCAACCCATGAAGACATTGAACTTCAAAGGCAAAGAAGCACCCAACGTCAAGATCTGATGTCCATCTAGAGAGTATGCAGAGAAACTCAAATATCAACTAAAGAGTGGTCCTTTGAAACCCTCCTTCACGTAACATGAGATACTTCATTTATTTTTCCTCATGTTAGCCATCCAGACATAGTGGCCCTAGCCCTTGGAGGCGACTGTGACCAGTTCAAAATGGAAGCAGCCAAGACCAAAAACAGAAGTCAGAAGAACTACCCAAATATGTGCAGAACCAGGCATAAGAGGATAGGATGACTGATTGGTATTTCAGACTTACTGATACTTGGACCTAACTTTTACTGTGGAGAAATGTGGTGTTACCATCACTTGGTCTTGCTTGTCTAAGCTTGGTCACCAATCAGCAGATCAGCTTTTTCTTCTTTTTGTCCCATTTGATTAGACTTCCCTAGGAATGCAAAGTTTTGGCCAGGAGAAAGTCTTGTTCCAAAAGAGTGTAGCATGTTGAGACGTTCATGGGGTCCCCTTCAATGGTGTTTGTAGGGTGGACTGATAGATAAAAACTCTTGATAATGTGCATTCATTGCATCCCAGAATTGATGCTTGTCTTGTTGTGAGGTGAACCATCCCTTCTAGATACGTTTGGCACGCTCAGGGTCATATTCCTTCTTTGCTTCTCTGACACTTATAAAACTGGATTGTGATTTTTGGGGTGATGAGTCTGGTAGGGTTGGAAATAGCTGCCTTTTCAATTTGTACTCCAGATTGATTGCAATGGTTTGCTGGAGCAAGCTATCATGAAAGGCCTCCATGATTTGGCAGCTTGATTCCAACAAGTGGTTTGAATTCCTGGAGCCCACCCAGAGCTCATTAGCACTTTCCTTGAGCTTGTAATTGCTGAGAAATTTTGCAGAAGAATGTTGATTAAGGTGATGGCTACAATTTAAAGAGAAATGGTTTGAGTCTGACTTATTAAAAAAACAAATTATGGATTACCATGCTTACAATGTTGAATCAATTTCCTCAACATGGCTCTTGTGCTGCTGTGTCCTTTGAGCTTCCAGCTGCAGATATTGGTGGACTTCGGATTTGAATCTTCTGAAGTTGTTGTGTTGAGCATTTTGAGAGGTTTTTATGATTGCTTGATGAGAACTAGATATTGGAGGCCAGGAAAAAACAGCTTGGGTAGGGGAATGGTCATTTGGGTCAGGGAAAGAACTGAAGTCTAGGTTGGTATGGGGGTTGAGGCTTGATAATTGGTTGACATCTGGTTCATGGGCTTTGGCCCCTGTGGCAATGGAAGAATGGATTAGAAATGAGTAACCCTAGTACAAATTATCAGTTTGTTGTCTTCATTCAAGCAAGGACTCACCTTCATTAACAAGGTCATAACTCTCAAAGTGGACATCAAGGATCATCGAGGAATAGCCTTGTGCCTTCCTCATCTCATCCATCTTTGTGACCAGATGCGTTGAGATTTCCTTCTTACAGATATCCCATTGACCTGAGCCTGAGGAGCCGTATGAAGCTGGAAGTTGGAAATTGAGTTGTAAAAGGGCTTTGGCATCATCAAGAGTAAACCTCACAAAAGTGATTGGTTTATTTTTGTTGCTGAAAAAATGGCTTGTTGATTTTAGTAGATATGTAGTAGAAAAGAAGAGCTCTCAATCTCCTTGCTGGGGAAACCATTTTTTCAAGATCAATTTGGTTTGGATAGGATCAAAAGCATTGGCTTCCTTGAAACAGTCATAGACGTTGAGTCCCCACACCATCATCCTCTCTATTTGATTGAATATTGGATTGGAAATAGTAAGAAGTATCTTCTTGACCGCATCCTCAATGTTTTGCACAAGCCAGGGCCTTAGGTTCTAGTGCCTGTCCAACTTAATTTTTTGGTTGGATGAAAGATCACTGAGGGTTGGAGGTGTAGTTTCTTGAAAGCTAGTTGAACCCATGGGTTCTTTCTTAATAGTGTTTCAGAAAGCCATAAGTCCAAAGGCTGAAACAAATTACAGATGCAGCAATTTGGTTGAAATTCCAGCCTACCTATCTGGATGTCAAACGTAAGCTGAGGAGTGTTGTTGGCGGCAGTTTTTTTGACTTGATCCATTGGGCTTTCTTATATGTAGGAAAATGGTAATGACAAGCTTATCCTGTGGCTTTGTTATGCTGACCAGATTGGTAGGAATCTTATCAGGTTCTAAACCAGGCCACCCTGGAGTTTAGCAAAGTCTTGATTCCTTTTGAGATGCCAACTTGTAAGTGCATTCTGCCATCCCAGGCTTCCAATTCTCATTCTTGCGGTGTGCCACCAAGAACTGACCAGTTGAGGCTGCAAGTGAATATAAATTACCTGTTTATCACCGGCTCCTAGCCTGCATTTGCCCCTGGAAGCTCCTTGTTGATGCTCATTGGGTATCTGAAGGAACTGAGTAGAAATTAGAAATTCCCTCAGTTGACCTTGCACCAATGTGTGAGCCAATAAGAGGCTTCAACTCTTGGTAAGTCCACATAGCCAGAAATACAATGTAGATGTGACAAGGTTGTTGTAAACCAGATCAGCAAGTTTAGAATTGAATTCCTTTGATAAAGATTGAATGTTGCTCCTCAATAACTCATTTGTGTCAAATTCATGACTGAAATTTCATGCTCAAGCTCCACCAGTGCACCTAGAACAACCTTTTTTATTCTGAGGTATATGCTGGTACATGTAATCAATTTACCTGAATGATTAGGGACTTCTGTTCATATATCTCTTTCCCTAAAGCTCTTTTTGGGATTGGCAGGATGAACCTTTCATATGCTTTAACACTGGGAGAAGTTTTGAACATATGGTGTTGTGGTATTTAGGCATCCAGCTGAGAAAGAGAAATGGTTTATCATCCAGCTGAGAGAGAGAAATGTTTTATGATCTGAGTTATATATGTGCAAAATTTCAATGACAAGTTTATAGGTCAGTGTTTTGAAGATTGTGGAGTGTTTCATTTTTTTTTTTGAAAATCATTGCATTGTCAAAATGACCTGATTGTATTAAGATCAAAAAAGTGATTCTATGATCAAAATTAATTAAATTTATGGAGATCAAAATCAACTAATTTTTTAAAGATCAAAGTTACTTGTTAATTCAGCTTATAAATATAAAATCCATCTGGAAAGGGGGAAAGTTTCAAAATGGTAATCAATGTGCAGTATAAAACAAACTTCAGGCTGTTCTGTGACAGAAACTTCAACTGTAGAATCCAGAAAGTATTAATGTGGGGTGTCTACATTTTTTATTCTTTCATAGCTAACTACTAATCAAATCACACTATATCACCTCAAGAAAACTTGAATTGCTGTTGAGCCTCCCCATCCCACACCAGTGCTGGTTTGTCCAATGTTTTCAATCCATTTTGCAGCATATTGATCTTCTCCAAGAAGGGTTTGGACCAACTCTGTATACGCTTAAAAAGTATTAAAAATTCATAAAGTTGTATGTTCTATGAAAGTACCATATATATTAATATGATATGGGCTCAACAATACTTTTATAAGATATAAGTATGTTGCCTTTCATTTAATCCCACTTGCAAAGTTTTATTTTTATGGGGAGGCACCAATGCCTCCCCATATAGTATAGCAAGAGTGAAAATTTGGGTGGTCCAAGGTCAACCGTGGTCCAAGTGGATAATTAGCAATTCCCACACTAAAATTATAAAAATTAGCACATCGGAAAGAGAAAAATCCAAGCATCTTTTTTGACTTTGCATTGCAAGTTTCCCACAGAAAGACCTGTAAATAACTTGTCAAAAAAAAAATTTTTTGTCATTTGATGTTGGTGTCTCAATTCTAAGTTTTTTATAACCATCTAATGTTTTTTTTGTCAAAGTAAAATTCCAAAGGGTCAGTGGTCAAAAAATTGTTTTTTTTTATTTTGTTTAAATCCATATCTTGAATTTTTTAGGCCTTGAGTCAGAATGTTGATAGAGGGTATAATTCTCTACCTAGGGAACCAATGCTCCAAATCAAATTTGTTCCAAAGACATCAAGGTTTCATAGCTATAAGATTCCATTTTTCACATAAAATCCTATCTTGGTAGAAACTAGTCAAAAACCATTTCTAACTTAACAGACATATATCATTTTTTACTTTGATGTCATTTATCAAAAATTTTCTTTTTTTTGGTGACTGGTGGTCCAAGACCTTGTACATACAAGTCCAAAGTTTCTATGGCAAAAAAGTTAATATTTTTGTTGTTTATACAAATCTATGGACCTATGGTTTCAGCCCTCCTACGGTGGGACCCCATCAGGTGGGTTCACTTGTCAGGTGTACACCCATATAGTATAGCAGGTTTGAAAATTTAGATAAGCTGAGATCAAGTTTGATCCACCCTTGTGAATTGTTATTTTTGGCAGATTTGACTCTCTTAATTTGGCAGAGGGCTCATTCAAATTGAAACAATTCAAAGAGCAGTTTGAGATAATTTTTAACCCAACTTTTCCATGTCATACCCTTCAAAAATGGAGAAAAATAATACAGTTTGCATCTAAGTTTCTCAATTGTCCTGTGTTTAGTAATGCATCTGACAGCATCTCATATTTTGACAAAGTCAGGTTTTTGCACATTTTCATCCCAGCCCCTGTGTCAATGAAGAGTCTTGCTATGTGTGCTTGGGCCAATACAATGCAAAATCAATAGTGAGTGTTCTTCCATGTGCTTGCTCAACTACATACTAGCAGCTTCACAGCATTGAACAGAAAACTTGCAGGGAAAATGCAACTCATTATGACACACAGCCATCAGTTTTGAGGGTAACATAGAGGCAGATAACCAGTACTGGGTCGCTACTTTACACTGTGTTATCCAGTGTATCTGAGTAGTGTAGTGCACCCAGCTGCTTGGCTGCTACTTTACCGCTACATTAACCACAAAATTTGTGCCCTGGGCTGTAGTGTAGTGGGACCCTTTTCTGAAACCCAAAAAAACCTGATGGTGTAATGGTTTCACCCCTGGATAGTGTGCTACTGCACTACATACCCTGCAGCGTAACTGGGCCCCTCTTTTTGAGAACACCAAAATCTGATTTTGTAACAGTTTCACCCCTGGATATCCCTTTGAAGAGCTTCAAATCCCAATGGATTGTGAGACACCTTCTCAGCTATTCCTTGAATTTGGATCTTTGTTGCAGACTCATAGGCCTTACGCCAGCCGAGACTATACATTTTACCAGCATAATCCAACGTAAAATTCAACCCTACGATTGAATCAGAGCCAACTACGCCAAAAAACTCCTGCTTGTCGATGGCAGTTGTGAGACGACCTGCCAGTGTGACCAACCCAATCACCAAAAACACCACTCAAGATTCAAGAAATCCAACCCAAGTCCACTCTATCAATGCCGAAGAGGTCTTCAACATCCTTAATCAAACAAAAAATCCCAACCAACTTGGTCAGTTTTGGAGGCACAACGTTGAGCCAATTTCCTTGTCAGCCTCTCCTTTCAATGGAATAGCTTGCTCGACCACCCGTTTTCGAAAGTCCTTGTCATCCACTCCTTCAAATGCAATGGCCAGCCCAACCAACCGTTTGAGAATGTCCATGTCACCGACTTCTTCAAACTCGACGCCTTGCCCCATCAATCGCTTTACTGAGCTTGACGCCTGCCAGGCCTGCATTAATCCAATCACCAAAATGATCAATGGTGCACTACAAGTCAAGCGCACATTGCTTTCTGAGAGCTCAGCAGGTCCGGCTGAACCGGTAACCGGACCTCTTGTTAAGCGTATGCGGGCAAGCGAGGAATCTGCTCATAACTGCTATGCGGCATCTCTCCGGCAAACCATCGTCTTTTAAGGCTTCTCTTCTTGGAAAGCCGTCCTCTGATCCGGAGTCAACAACACTCATCGGCTAGTGACTCTCTTGCAACCAACAACAAGAAGGCCGCTGATTTTCAAAAAGACTCACCTCCCCAAACCGCTGACACCACCCTGTCATTGGCTAGTGATTCTCTGTCAACCAACAATGAGAAGGAAGCTGATTGTCAAAAAGACTCGCCTCGCCAAACCACGGACACCAACCTGTCATTGGCTGTCAATTCTCTCTCCAACCCACTGTCTTCTGATTTGAGCCACCATGAAACAACCAATGCGGAGAAGACAAGCAGTCCTCAAAAAGACTTGCCTGCTCAAACCTCGGACTCAGACCAATCATCTGTTAGTGTTTCTATCCCGGATGAGTTGTCAACTGCTCCAACCACCGACACAAACCAGCCGTCTGCTAGTGCTCCTCCTGCCGTCACGTTGTCTTCCAATTCAAGCCAACAAACTGAGAAGACAAGCCATCCTCAAAAAGACTTGCCAGCCCAAACCACCAACACCAACCAATCATTGGCTAGTGATTCTCTCTCTGGTGAGCTGGGTTCTGATTCCAGCCAACAACGTGGAGCAACAAGCTGTTTGCCAACCAATACCGAGATCTCAAGCAATCCTGCAAAATACTCAACCGCTCCAACCACCGACACATTTCAGTCGTCTGCTAGTGCTCCTCTCGCCGACACGTTTTCTTCTGAATCAAGCCAACAACATGGTCATGAAGCAGCCAACACGGAGAAGACAAGCAGTCCTCAAAAAGACTTGCCTGCTCAAACCTTGGACGTGGACCAGTCATCTGCTAGTGTTTCTATCCCGGATGAGTTGTCAACTGCTCGAACCACCGACACAAACCAGTTGTCCACTAGCGCTCCTCCTGCCGACACGTTGTCTTCTCATTCAAGCCAACAAACTGAGAAGACAAGCCATCCTCAAAAAGACTTTCCGGCCCAAACCACCGATACAAACCAATCATTGGCTAGCGATTCTCTCTCTGGCGATGCTCCTCTCGCCGACATGTTGTCTTTGGAATCAAGCCAACAAAATGGTCATGAAGCAGCCAACACGGAGAAGACAAGCTTGGGGTTTGAAACTTGGATTGGGAAACTAGATGACAACTGAGATGTTGGAAACAAGACTTCAGGTCGCTGGCCATTGTTGAAAACGGTGAAATTTGACAATGGTGATGATTTCCTTGTGACCTCTGCTCTTCCAGGCAATGAAACTCCTGGTGAACATTTGTATTTTTGTTCTAGGGTCCACCTTGCAAATATGAGTCATGATTCAAGCATCTTCACAGGATCTTTGGCTTGCTTTTTGACAAGACTGATGTTGTCTGGCTGCTTTGAACATTCTGTTTCGGATCTGATTTGGTAAGAGCGGCTGAACAGTTGATGCCAAGGAAGAGTTTGACATAGAGACCATTGAGGTTGGGAACAGACGATCAACGTTCACAATCCTACATGGAAGCCGAGAGTTGAACGGTAATTGAGGACATCAAAGCTGGATATTCACAATGCATTCAAGAAGGTTGCATTCACCTGGATGGCAGACTTGACAGATGCGAATGTATCTAGAAACGGCTGTAGGCAATTTAGGGTGTTGCAATAATTGGAAGCAGTGTGCCAGTGCATTAAGTAAATCAGCACTTTGATTGTGTTGGTTGTGGAGACTGGCAGAGAGGAGGTATAAAAAACAGACAGACCTTGAGTGCTGGTGACAGAGGACAAGGTGTCAAATGGCACTTTGATTGTGGAGACTGGCAGAGAGGAGGTATGAAAAACAATGAAGCTTGGTACTGGCGATGAGTAAGCTGTGAGAGGTCAAGATGTTGATGAGAATTTTGGTTATGGAGACTGGCAGGGAGAAGAAAAAAAAATCACATCAAGAACTGGCAATGAGTAAGCTGCCAGTGGACAAGGTGTTGATCAGTACTTTGATTGTGGAGACTGGTGGTGAGGAGGTATAAAAACGACAAATGTCAAGTGCTGCCAATCAGTTAGTTGTTAGTCAGCACTTCAGTTATGGAGACTGGCAGGGAGGAAAAAAAAAACGACAGTGTTAATCAGTTCTTTCTTGTGGAACAAGGTCAAGCATCAAATTATGCCATGGAGTAGTAACTTGAGGCGGGTGCGTCAGAATCTGACACGCGAACCTGGAGGCCTGGATCATAGGCTTCTTTTTGTGTCATCAAATTTTGGCTCAGTTTTTCCATAGAGAGAATCTTGGCCTCGATGGGTGTGTTGATGTATGTATCTATTTACTTGGAACTGCTTAAATACATAAATACTGGCCTGTCACAGTCCAAGCCACTTCTATTTAAGAAGTGCCTTTCCTGGCTGTTTTCCCCCCATCAGCAATCAAAAACAACTCCAACAAAATCAAATCAACCAACAACAACAAAGACTATAAATACTTTAAAGATGGTCAACATTGTAATTGGCCTTTTATCTTACAACAATACTGTTACACATTAACAGTACACTAAAAAAAATTTGTTGCTTTAAAGCATGGCTGTGAGTTTTGCAGGGACCATCTCATGGAGGGTCCCTGTGAGTTTATACCCTTGACTGGGCATTGTAAAAGATTCCAGG